TTCTCGATTAAAGTGAGCTTTGCCAAGACCATCTACAAAAGCCAGGGACAGTCCCTAAAGATGGTTGGCCTAAACCTGGTGTTTCCTAGCTTTTCTCATGGACAGTTCTATGTTGGATGCTCCAGAGTGGGAACCGGCAAAAATCTGTACATACTTGCTGCTAATGGCAAAACCAAAAATGTGGTCTACCTTAATGCACTACAGTGAGACGATGTTGAGTAGTCATTATTGGGGTGCAAGAGCTCAGTCGCACTCAACAAGAGGCAATTTTTTTTTAAAGGTAAATGCATACAAATGCCCTTTTCTCTGCGTTTGTGGTTACGGTCTTCACTTGTAATATTGTTTTTATTCTTTCGTTTTGTGGAGGTACTTTCTCTACATTAGGTAACTGAGGGATTGGGCTTTGGTTAGCAGAAGCATTCATCTTTATTGTTATTGTTAGATTTCTGGCTTGGTTGACAGGTAGGGTCTATATGCAATGAATTAGTTTTACCTGAACTGTACTGTCTAATGATTATTTTTTTTAAATGAGAGTCTATCAAATTTTCTCACCTGATTGAGTCAGTAAGGGTTAACTTTATTCAGCGAAGCTCAGGTAATTCTTCTCCATTTATCCCTAACAATTGTGAGTCACTATGTGAAATGTTAATTTCTCTTTTTCGTTTAAATAACTTAGATATTTCTTCTGACTCAAGAAGAATTTGTTTAAAGAAATAGTAATGCACAGACTTGCCTATTCATGTACCTGTACTAAAAAAGGTTAGTAACAAGTACTGTAGATACACATATATGCATAAAAATTTAAATTTATTCTCTTATTTATCTAAATTAAATTATTCAGTGATCATTTGCATTGAACCAAATTTGTATTATTATGATGAGCTTTCAATTAAAAGTAGGCTCAAGCACTATATTTAGATGCAGTAGTTTTATGATGACTACCTTGTGAAGCCTTCTTCATGTGTGGTGTTGTTTGCTAATAACTAATGTATGTTTGTGTTTCACAACCTAATTTCGTGATAGTGTGTTGTGGATTTTGCGATCCGTAGAGTTGATCAGCTTGCCACTGGAGAATCGGGAGGTCATTCACAGGATTTCTGGCCTGATGTCACACTCCTAAAAACAGTAAGGACAGGCCGCTGTAACGTTAGGAACTTTAGCTACGCCACGTTCAATGACGTCACGCTAGCGACGCACATCATCTGGTGACCAGTTGGTGACGGGTTTGCCTTGATTGATGCTTAATTGTTTCATTTTTTGAGAAAACCCATAAGGCTAAGGCTTTTTTGCAGTCAGGTATAACAAAATGAATGCCTTATGTTCTCATAGTCCTCCAAAAAATAAATGATATTGGAAAAAAAAAATTACAAGGAAACACCTGGGGGGCAGGTGCCGGGCATTTCGCAGATGACATGGACGGAGCAACTCAAGTTTGAGCTTATTAACAATGCATTTTTTTTTCTATTTTTCCCAGTCATGGCAAGGTGAATGTTTGAGGGTATTCTGGATAACCGAATATTGCCTTACAATGTATACTTAAGAAAATAGAGCGTTTCTCTAGGCGTTAAGCATCACGGCCGTCGCCGGTGAATTAAGTGATGTAACTGTTTTTTCTTATATTTTGGGTAATATTATTGTTTTCTTTTGTCATACGTGGCAAGAACAATGTCTCACGGTCTTCTGGTTGACTTGATGTTGACTGACACTGCAGAATTAAGAAACTACAAGAAATCTTCCCTCGCGTCTTGACACCTGAAACCTACATACCGATGTACTTAACTTTAATTTTTTCAAGATTATTAAATATGTTCAAAGTTATTTTTGGAAACATAAAGCAAGGTGAATGTCTCACCTTCCTGTAGATACCTGTATATCGACAGACATTTCAGAATTAAGGAAATACAAAAGAAATATGTACTCTCTTCAAACAAGTTTTCGGCTAACCTAATGTGGTGTTTATTTTATCAGAGCGCTTACAGGAATTTATCTATTTATCACAAGTTTTCTTATCTCTGGGAAATCTGTAATACGTGATGTGCTCTCTGCTTGGGATTTGAGCATTGCTGGTTTACCCGTATATTGCACAAATAACCTTATCGGTTGATACATTGGTACCGAGAGCAGACGCGGGCACACACGGAGGTTACCAGATGATGTGTGTTTACAACAGTGACGTCGTCGAGCTGTGCATTGTGGGTAAAACAAGTGTTTGGTGAACTATCTTTACTAGTATTTTATCCTTGACTGGTAGGCTATAATTCAAGATGGCATCCGTTATGACGTAATATTAACGTTCACAAGATGCCATCCGTGATGAAGGCGTGTGTGCTCTCAGTCCTTATGCTATGAAAAGACACTCGGGGTGTGAAGACTGCTTGGAGTTTACGTCAGTTGTCGCTCGCTGCTGACCACTGATGTTATCGAAGATTGTTTTGTCTACTAAGGGAAGAGGCTGGTTACTTGTATAAACAAGTGCTATTTGTCCTCTCACGGGGAAGAAGATGGTTGCTTACTTGTATTAGAAAATGTTGTTTGTCTTCTCACTGGGGAGAGGCTATTTATTATCGAAGAGTCTAGATTGATCTTCGAAGTTTCTCAGTATTTGATTGGCGATTCAGAATCTTCTGAGATTGAGTCTGAATGAATCTTGTTAACTCTTGATTAGTTTGTCTTAATTGATTTTTTAGCGTTGTACTAATCCACTGCACACTTTAATGTCACTTTTGAGAATGTTTATACTTCATTTGTATGCTTTTTGTTCATTGTCATTTGCGGAGTACACATATTTGTCGTATTAGAGCCGTCGTTGTCAGGATACAATTTGATTACATTAACTCATTTAACGTTGGAGCCAGATTTATTGATAATTTTTTTTTCATTTGTGTATTTCTTATGGTTCTTAACAACAACAAAAACAACAACAACAACAACAACTAAATAAATAATAAATAAATAATAACAACAACAACAACAACAACAACAACAACAACAACAACAACAACAACAACAACAACAACAACAACAACAACAACAACAACAACAACAACAACAACAACAACAACAACAACAACAACAACAACAACAACAACAACAAACAACAACAACAACAACAACAACAACAACAACAACAACAACAACAACAACAACAACAACAACAACAACAACAACAACAACAAACAACAACAACAACAAACAACAACAACAACAACAACAACAACAACAACAACAACAACAACAACAACAACAACAACAACAACAACAACAAATAAATAAACAACAACAACAACAACAACAACAACAACAACAACAACAACAACAAATAACAACAACAACAACAACAACAACAACAACAACAACAACAACAACAACAACAACAACAACAACAACAACAACAACAACAACAACAACAACAACAACAACAACAACAACAACAACAACAACAACAACAACAACAACAACAACAACAACAACAACAACAACAACAACAACAACAACAACAACAACAACAACAACAACAACAACAACAACAACAACAACAACAACAACAACAACAACAACAACAACAACAACAACAACAACAACAACAACAACAACAACAACATTATTATTATTATTATTATTATTATTATTATTATCGGTGATGTTGTTATTATTATTTTATTTTAATTCTGTATTTTTTATTATAAATTTTATTTACTATGAACTAATTATTATTATGGTTGTTATTACATTTTCGCCCTCCAGGCCCCGATGTAGGTCAGTGACCTGTGCCCGGGTGGGATAATCGTAAAAAAAAAAAAAAAAAAAACTAATGAGAATCTGAAATCAAGCCTAGGTGAACAAGGCCAGCTCATCAATTTAGAGGTTAACAGTCAACTTATGCTTGAATCAGCCATCATTGGGTCTTGTGATTGGGTGAACCCATGGTGAAGTCAAATTATGGTTTGGTCAGCCATCATTCGCGTCAACTTGAGGTGGTGTCAGTCATCACTGGGGTCAACTTGTGGTGGTATCGGCCAGCCCTATGGTCAATTTGTGGTGGGGTCAGCTGGCAGTGGGGTCAACTTGTGGTGGGTCAGCTAGCACTGGGGTCAACATATGATGGAATTCAACAACAAGATTTGGAGAAATCTTAATTTTCGATGAACTTTGTCCTGTGACTTTTTTATAAGGATCAGTTCATTATAGTAGATGTTAGGATATGGCGACTTCCAGGTAAACCTGTTTTTAACCTTTGACCGATATTGACAAAACTTTACCGGTAACCAGCTTTCAAGTGCGCGATGAGCCATAAACACGTTTGTAAAGCTTAGACGGTGATTGTGGACGTTCGATAGGTAACAAATAATAGGAATAAAATGTCGTACACAGAGCTGTTTGGTAAAGTATCGAATTTCTTACTCGGTGCGAAAGCTTGTAACAAGTTCAACATATATGAGGTCAATATATGGTTAGATCAACATGTGGTGGGGTCAGCATGTGGTGCTGTCCTTCACTTGTAAAAATTTTGTACAAATTGATTCGCAATTGCAGTCACCATTGTAATGACTAGAGTTTTATCAATGACCTTAAAACATTGCCATGTTATCGCCTGTTTCTTTATCCTTTGACGTTGAGAGCAATAGTGATCATATTGTTTCAGCTGCTGAGAGAGCTTACGCTCTCAATTGGCTCAGCCACGTCAATATTGTTATTATTACCCACTCTATATCTGTATTTTTATGGCTAAATAAACTGTTTCAATATCATTATCAATATCAACATTAACATCAATCATCACCTCAAGTATTACCTTCAATCTCGAGAATGAGTTTATTGGTTTATTATGCACTACGGAGCTCGCGGTTCTGCATGTTATTCCTGTTTTTTGTTTTTTTGCTTCATTGTGATACTGGAATGGTTATCTGTAAGATGTCTAAATTCTTTTTACCATTACATTTGCTAATTTGTTCACATTTTTCATCTTTTTAATTCAAGTTTATCTTCCTCGACTCCAACAGCCACAACAAAGAGCCGTGCAGCAAGTGTCACAAAACACCGACGCCGAGTCCTCCACTTCCCTTAAGAAATTAGAACAAACAGAAAATGAGGAGAACAAGTATAATTAAAGGGAACTAAAAGAGAGACATAAAATGGTCTGATAAAAAAGGTGAAGCCAGTTAAAAGTTAAATTAGCTCTGAGGCAACGTTAATGACGGAAGGGCTTGTAGCATGGGCGAGGAAGGGGTGTGTAAGTCATTGTAGAGGTGTGTAAGTCATAGTAGAGGTATGTAAGTCACAGTAGAGGTGTGTAAGTCATAGTAGAGGTGTGCAAGTCATAGCAGAGGTGTGTAAGTCATAGTAAAGAAATAAGTCTTAGTACTGGTGTGTAAGTCATAGTAGAGGTGTGTAAGTCATAGTAAAGGTGTGTAAGTCATAGTACTGGTGTGTAAGTCATAGTACTGGTGTGTAAGTCATAGTAGAGGTGTGTAAGTCATAGTATAGGTGTGTAAGTCATAGTAGAGGTTTGTAAGTGATAGTAGAGGTGTGCAAGTCATAGTATAGGTGTGTAAGTCATAGTAGAGTTGTGTAAGTGATAGTAGAGGTGTGAAAATCATAGTAGATGTGTGTAAGTCATAGTAAAGAAATAAGTCTTATTACTGGTGTGTAAGTCATAGTAGAGGTGTGTAAGTCATAGTATAGGTGTGTAAGTCATATTAAAGAAATAAGTCTTAGTACTGGTGTGTAAGTCATAGTATAGGTGTGTAAGTCATAGTAGAGGTGCGTAAGTCATAGTATAGGTGTGTAAGTCTTAGTAGAGGTGTGTAAGTAATAGTATAGGTGTGTAAGTCATAGAAGAGGTGTGTAAGTCACAGAAGTGGCGTGTAAGTCGTAAAAGCATCCAATAAAACACTGGAGAGAGTAAGACCAAAAACTATATGTTGAACACAAGGGCCACAATTCAAGTATGTCTCTACTGGTGTCTGACAACCTTCCCTCTATCACATTGGTTTTCCAACAGTTCTTCATCGATCGTTTTTTTTCTTTTACCACAGACAAATGAGTGACTTCTAGACTAGTCACGGACAGCTGTAAATCGCTGTGCCCACTTTATAAACTCTGGGGCCATTAAATCAACTGTGTGAGAGGGAAGGGTGAAGACCACACACACTTCTCAAATGTAATTTTTTCTTTTGCTGGTGAGTGGTGTAAGTGGAGTATCTTGGCTGCCGGTGCCGTTATTAGCTACTACGTGCTGCCAAAGATTATGACAGTCCTCTGGCGTTTTTCAGCCCTTTCTACTTTGTGATATCAATTGATTCATATCATTGAAATAATTAATGAATGTATCTATTAGAGAGTGCAGTGGATAGAAATTCAATATAAGTGGACCTAAGACGTTAAGATAGACAGAAAATAACGTGTCATATTTACAAAAAAGGAAAAATCAGGTAAATGAGACACATAAAAAGACTTCAGGCAGAAAGAGTAGTTTACCTGTGGCGTGAGTAAGGTGATTAATAGTGAAGGAGCAGCAAGGAACCCCGGCTCTACTGTACAGTATACTATCATCGTCGCTTCCTTCACCCGACCACCACCACCACCACCACCAACACTATCACCATGGCACTGCCCATGCCTATGCACGAGGACCATCAAGGTAAGTTAAGGCTCACTTGTAGTTAATTATGAAATAAGGCTTTGGGAGAGGAGAATGAGAAAATATTTATCACCAGAATTAAAAAAAAAAAGATAATTAAATTAATATATACTCTAATAAATAAATAAATGAATACAATTATGAGTTTGAGGAAAAATACTTTATTGAATGGAGAAGAATATATTATTAAGTGGAGGATATATTGCTTTGTATAAAGCTTTGTTTAAAGTTACTTTCATATTTTAGCCAACACTTCCTGATATCTTTGACTATGCAAGTCTTCAATATTCTAATGCAAAACTGTATTTTCCAAATATACTATATTAGCCTATGCTGTGGCCTCTGATGTCCCAGTCGGGGTCATGAGGACATAGAAGTATCACTTCTGAGGGCGGAGTGTTTTCATTATGTCGACCTACAGTGTCAGACAGTTAACATGCGATAAATTTTTACTACCTCACAGAGGAAGGTCTATCGAGCACATGTAATGCGTTAACACACACACACACACACATGAAATTGCTAATCTAGCTCTTGGTACTACACGCACACACATACACACACAACTACTACTTTCCTTTCACTCGGAATCGAGTATGACGATCATCCAGCTATGAGAAAATTATATGAGTTATTAAGGATGTGACATTTATTGGTGAGTTCTGAGGTGAGCAAAGAGGCTGATACGGGACCGGCAGTTGCACGTGTTGAGGGCTACAGCTAGTGCGGAAGGGACGGCGGCAGCGAATTTCCAGGGCCGGCGCTTATCTACCTAAGTATTCTGTCGGGCAAACTCGAAATTATTGACACCTTCTCGTGTGGTTCTCCTCCAAACGTTACAGTGTAGAGTAAACTTCTTCCAGGTGAGGGGGGTCGATTTGGCACTTTTTCAGGTTTGTCTTAAGACTTTTCTAAAACCTTTTCAGTTGCCCACCAGCGTTACGTTTATTATTCGTTACGTGACTGTAAAGTAGCAGCTTTGCCAGTCTACTGTCGGCCATGCAGATAACATGGCCAGTCCAGCAGAGTTGTTCATGGGAAATGGTAGCCTCGATGCTCCTACAGTTGGTGTCAGCGAGAATAAAACATTTGTTCTCTTGTCTTCCCAGCGAACTCGGAGGATGGAACGTACACGACGTTGGTGAAAGTTTTCAAGTGGCTTGAAGTACCTCCTGTATGTGACCCATGTCTCGCTGCCAAATAGCAGGGTAGGTAGGACCACTGCTGAAGGAGAATCTGAGTCTAACATACAGTACATTCACCTCAAGGCCGAAGTGTGCATACGCATCTGCATAGGTATTCAGTATCTCCTGTAGGTCGCATTCAGTGTGAGCGACAAAGTGAGGTCATCTGCATACTTAAGCTCAATAATAAAAATGCCGACACCTTTGTTCCTGCCTGTAGTCGTCTTATGTTGAAAAGAACCCCCTTCATCTGGTACTCGATGTCCACCACGCCGGCTAAATTGGCACTGGCACGAGCAAGGAAGGCAGCCAAGAAAATGTAAAAGAGAGATAGTGCCAGTACACATCCTTGTTCTACCCCCGTTTGGAAGGGGAAGACCACAGACTGGGTGTCATTGTGCAGGACACTGCCGTTCATGCCATTGTGGAGTTGCTTCACAATGCTAATGAATTTTGGTGGGCAGCCAAAACGGCTGAGGGTTCGCCAGAGGGCTTTCCTGTTGACCGAGTCGAAGGCCTTGGTTAGGTCGATGCAGGCCATGTACAGGTCACGACGCTGTTCTCTGTTCTTTTCCCGTATCTGGCGGGCAGTAAAGATCATGTCAGTGGTGCCACGTGAAGGTCTAGGGCCACATTGAGATTCTGGGAGGAAGTTTCCCGCCTCAGGAAGAAGTCTGTTAAGGAGGACTTGGGCGATATTCTTGCCAGTTACGGACAGCAGCGAGATCCTGTGGTGGTTGCCACAATCTGACTGGTCTCCCTTGTTTTTATAAATATTGACGATGGAGGTGTCTTTAAGATAACCCCAGATAATCAAAAAGTCTTTGGCCCAATTCGGCTCCATAAGTTTGCAGTACAGTGCATCATCAATAGTGTTGGCCAAGACCTCTAGCAACATACTGGCATCTCCGAACAACTGTATTCAATGTGTCCAATTGATGGGCGGGTACTTGGATAATTGGCATGCAGTTCTGGATTGACCTTACTGTTGACTTGGTTGAATTGAGTTCATCCCTTTTTAGCACAGTTGTTGCATTCTGTCGTTTCACAAAGAATGCCATATCCCTTGCAAGAGCCTGGAGTGCTTGTTCACAATCATCTGTAGACACCTGAAACCACTCTTTCTTTGTGTTTGTCTTTGATGTCGGTTGTGCTTTGCCCTTACTTATTTCTGCAAGCAATAGTTCATCCATAACAACAGGGTTCTCTAAACAAGTTTTCTTTGAGGGTTCAATGGTTTCCATACCCATGTCAGCTTCAGGACCCCTTTGCCAACCTGCCACCTGTGTGGCATGAAAACTGTTTTTCCCATCAAAGCTTGTGTCGTTAATGTCAATGTTGTTACATGTGAAGTGTATAAACCTGTTGGGCACAAAGTATGATGAGATAACCGTACCAGTGACTGAATCCATTGCATTCAGGGTGCTCTCTACCAAGGCCGTGTCAACGTGCAAGATGTTTTTGTATCTGAAAATGAGACCAGCATTGTGGAAGATTTCAACAGGCTCTTTCCGTCTGGTCGCCTAATGCAAAGTGCTCGCGAGACCAAGATCTTTTGGTGCCCATTATTTGTCACTACTGAGGTTGTACACAATATATTGTGCTATGCTCAGAATTCATGTCTGAATTCTTGCCTCCTTCAGGCTTGGATCCTGGAGTCTATATCGTCTTCATCCGGGTTGTCTTCCAACAAACTCTAACCACCAAACATCAGACATAAAAACATGACGAGGCTGTTAGGAATGCAAGATATAATTTTATCCTCACTAACAAAAAAAAACTTTGTGTACAGGATGTGCATGGATCTCACGTCTGAGTTTCACTGCCACGTGTACCATCTCGAGAAAACCGTCTTTGGGATGGTACATTGATATCTGCAAGGGTTCTTGCTCCTCAGACAGTAGTGTTGAAAAGGGCACATTTTCATATTTTACTGGAACGAGCAGTGTTTGTATTTCTGGTAGAGTGATGCAGTTATAGATATCACTGATGCGTGACTGAATTCTGTCCTTGAACGTATTTCTCTTGTTGATGAAGGATTGGGGTACCTCAATTTTAGCTATCTTGGTACCAATTCCATACCTCTGAAAGTATAAGTACTTCTGCTTTCTTCGCGGCGTCCTTGAGTTCCAGAACTAGCCATCACATTGCAACACCTGATTCCTCAAACTCAGGACATTTCTCTGCTTTTGATGCCCTGTGGTAACATGAGTTGTGATATACACCTGGAAAATGCACATATAGAACTGGATCATGCTTGGAAGCCTACAAAATATAATAAAAAGGCGACAGAGCTTATTTAATCTCTAACACTTGCACTTTGGCAGAACATGCAGGCTTCCTAGTTGACAGCACTTACTGAACTTCTCAGAACTGTTGATGGCCAGTTTGAATCGCTGAATTTTGGTTGATCACTTAACCTCGCTTTGTCTGTAGAAGACCTGCTTGAAGAATTCTCTTGAGATCTCTGCAGTCTCATTATGTGAATTTTACTCGTAAACGTTGCAGAGCAAGAATTGTGGTAGAGGACTTCATGATCCAGGTCTGAAGCAAAAAATAATTAAGACGATCAAATGTGCTTCTCTTCTCTAGATCTGTGTTTTATTTTTGCAACGCGGATTTTCCTTTTTATGTACATTTGAACAATTTCTCTTTGCTGCTTTCTTGATACAGAATACAGAGCTCTAATGCCACTAGTCTCATCCTTTTAAGGCTGCTACCTCTTCCATTATGATATCGTCTCGTCCGCTAGGATTTCAGTAATCTGCAAAAAAGCAAGAGTTTGAGGTGCTACAACTAGCTTCACTGTACTCGTGGTTTATTTTTAAAAATGTAAAATGAACAAAATTAAGCAATACTAGATACATTTACTGCTTTTAGCTGAGGGTAGCAGCTCTAAAACCTGACGTTCATTCGTTCATCCGTCCGTGCAGGATGTGTTATTCTAGTTAATTTTTCGATAAATACAAAGTCAACGGATTTTTCTTGCAATATCTCTAAAATTTAATTCTAAGACACCTTTCTTCTAAAACACTTTGGTTGCAAATGAATATTAACAAAGTTATGAGTGATATTAAAGATAAAAATTCTGTACAGGATGTTATTCTAGTTAATTTCTCGAAAAACACGTGGTCAACAGATATACTTTCCTTAAAATATGTCTAAAATACAATTCTAAGACACATTTCTTCTATAACACTTTGCTCATAAATAAATATTAACAAAGTTATGAGCGATATTAAAACGGCAAGTGATGTGAAATTGTATAGTTAAAACTCGTAAATTTGTTTGCGAACATACCCCCAGCTACCGAGATCTGATCGAGCTTGTTTGCAAACATAAAAACAATTGAGTGTCACAGCAATTTTGTTTTGATTTGAGAGTACCAAAACATTTCATTTACAGTCTTCACGTCAGCCATATTTTTCTGTTCATTGTCATGGGAAACAGGGGCATGATTAATCTTGTCAAATTCAAGAAATGGTTTAAGCAATTTAATCATATTCTAATCCTCTAGAGCAGTAGGTTTGCCGACTTTGTCTCTAAAATGTCTGGGGGTTCCTGTTTTACTGAAATTGGAACCAGTCTACTTGTCATCATATCTAATGTTGCACTTTTGTCTTTATCCAGATGTTACACTTTGTGATAATAGACCTGGTTAACTGCAACTACTCCATTTATATTCTTATAGTGCCCTGTACATTATGATCTGAGATCCAGAGGTCCACATACCATGTGTTGAGCAATAAACAATTATTATTATTATTATTATTATTATTATTATTATTATTATTATTATTATTATTATTA